TCTGTGCCAGGTACTGTGTTCTACATTAAGGATACAACGGCCTTTGCCCTCACAGAAATTACAGCTTAGTTGAGGAGACAGACATTATCCTAATAACCATAACCATACATAGGTAACACTGCAATTATGACCAATACTCTAAGGAAAGTTATTGTGGACAAATTAGAAGTTATGATAGGAATATCTGGAATATCTGGCCCTATCTGTGAGACTGACAAGGTTTTGAGATCTGAAGAATGAGTAGGAGTTTACTAGACAAAATGAGAAGGGAAAACTATTCCAGGTAGAGGAACTGCAGATACAAAAGCCCCAGAGTTGTTGCAAGACCAGCCCAGAGGACAGAAAAAGGCCTGAATGGTTAGAGAGTAGACAGTAAGGGAGAACATGGTACCAGATGTAGCCAGAGGAGAAGAGGAGGTGGCACCAAGCCATGCTGGACCTTATAGCCATATCTTTATCCTACAAGCAATGTGAAAACATTGAAGGGTTTTAAGACAGGCAAGTAACATAACCACATTTATATTTTGAAAACTACTCAAGATGTATGACAGGGAAAAAATTTGAGTGGCTGTAAGTAGACCAGTGAGGAGACTATTGCAGCATATTAAATGAAACATAAAAGAAGTCTGGACTACGTGGAGGTGGCAGAAATGGAGAGATAAGGAAAGATCTGAAAACTTCACATCTGTTGTTCAAGAGGACAACAGTAACAGGGCTTGATAATGGACTGCATATATGGGGTGAAATAAGAAAGTATTCAAATCAATAAAAGCTCATTAAAAATTTATTATGTGACAGTCATTCAGGTGCATGGGATACATAAGTGAACAACAACAAAGAACCCTGCCCTAGTGGAGTGTTCATTCTAGCAGGTGGATATAAACAATAGACTAAATAAGTAAATCATACAGTATATTAGAAAGTGATAACGCTGAGTGCAGTGACTCATGCCTGTAATCCCAGCACCTTGGGAGGCCAAGGTGGGAGGATTGCCTATGCCCAGGAGTTCAAGATGCCTGGGCTGCATAGTGAAACTTCACCTCTACAAAAAATGAAAAAATTAGCTAGCATGGTGGTGTGTGCCTACAGTACTTGGAAGACTGAGATGGAAAGATCGAGATTGTGGTGGGCCATGATCATGCTACTGCACTCCAGCCTGGGCAACAGAATGAGACCTGGACTTAAAAAAAAAAAAAAGGTGATAAAAGGACCAGGTACAGTGGCTCAGCCTACAATCCTAGCACTTTGGGAGCTAAGGCACTTGAGGCCAGGAGTTCAAGACCACCCTGGATAGCGAGACCCTGTTTCTATTTTTTAAGTGATAAAAGGCACAGGGGAAAAAATAGAGCAAGGTAAGGGAGATTAGAGACAGCAGTGGTAGAGGAGGAGGGCAGGTGGCAGTTTTAAATAGGGTAGTCAAGTTAAGACCCAGAGATGAGACTGAAACTAAGATGTGAAGAAGGTAAGAGGGTTACCCAAGCATATATTGTAGGGAAGAACGTTTCCAAGTGGAGGGAACAACTGCTAGTGGGCCAGGGTGGGTAGAGCAGAAAGAGTGAGAAAAGTATCAGAGTGGTCATAGGGGAAATTTTATAGGCCACTGTAAGGACATTTGGCCTTTCCTGAGTGATGATGAGACACTATCACAGAGTTATGAATAAAGGAGGAACATGATCTGTTAGGCTTTTAAAATTATTATTCTGGCTGTTATCTTGAGAACAGACTACAGGAAGACAGGAACATCTATTTGACGCTATTGCAATAATCCACATTAAAAAAACATGGTGCTAGCCAGGCTCGGTGGCTCAGCCTGTAATCCCGCGCCTTTGGGAGGCTGAGGTGAGTGGATTGCCTGAGCCCATGGGTTCGAGACCCACCTGGGCAGGCGAGACCTCATCTCTACAATAAATCAAAAAATTAGCTGGGCGTGGTAGCGTGTGCCTGTAATTCCGGCTACTCAGAAGGCTGAGGCGGAAGTATCGCTGGAGCCCAGCAGGTCAGAAGGCTGTGGTGGCCGGGAGCGGCCACTGCACTCCAGTCTGGGCGACAGAGTGAGACTCCAACTCAAAAAAAAAAAAAAAAAACCATGGTGCTTGGACCACATTAGTTAACAGTGGAAGTGATGAAAAATGGTCAGATTCTAGATATATTTGAGAGCAACCCAACTGCATTTGTTCAGAGACTGGATGTAGGTCGTGAGAAGTGTCAAAGACAACTACAAAAGGATTATGGCCTGAGCAACTAGAGAAGACCAGAACTGCCATTGACTGAAATAAAGAAAGCTACAAATAAAGAAGGCTTAGAAGTGTGGAATTTGGACATTTTGGGATTGAGATGTTTAGATAACATTCAAGCAGAGATGACAAACTGATAGCTGGATAGATGAATCTTGAATTCAAGATAGAGGGCTAGAGACATAAATCTGGGAGTCACTGGCAAATACAGCACAAAAATAAATTCACCAAGAGAGTGTAATTAAAAAAAAAAAACAACTAAATTTTGTGTCATTCTTAACAACAGAAGATCAAGAAACAAAACCAAAAAGATAACTGCAAAAGAATGACCAGTAAGATGAGAGCAAAACCAAGAGACAGTGTCCTGGAAGCCAAATAAATAAAATGTATCAAGGTTTCTGGCTTAAACTACTAGAGACATGGTGGTAAGAAAGGGAAATCCTGGAAAAAGATTACGTTTGTGAAGGTAAAGAGTTTGATTTTAAATATGTTGAGGTACATTATTATTATTATTTTTTGAGCTGGAGTCTCACTGTCACCCAGGCTGGAGTGCAGGGGCACGCTCACAGCTACTGCAGCCTCAACCTGCTGGGCTCAGGTGATCCTTCTGCCTTAGCCTTCCAAGTAGCTGGACCTACAGGCACACGCCACTACGCCCAGCTAATTTTTGATTTATTGTAGAGATGAGGTCTCGCCAAGTTGCCCAGGATGATCTCAAGCCCGTGAGCCTCCCAAAGTGCTGGGATTATAGGCTTGAGCCACCATGCCCGGCCTTGAGGCACATTATTAATGTTGAGTTTGGGAAGGAGTGGCAAACTAACTCAAAAAGCCAGAGTTTGGCTCTAATTCTTTGTTTGCTCTGTGGCATAAGTTTTCATTACCTTTCTAAGTCTCAATCTCCTTTCCTATAATGTGTATACAACTGAACATGGTTGCTGTGGGAATCAAATGAGGTAATTTAAGAAGAAAAAAATAACCACTTCTCTGAAAAAACACCAAATGGCAGATGATATGCATGCAGAAGGGCCCAGAGGCCCCGGTATGGGAGGCCCTGGAGGCTTCTGTGAAGGTTTCAGTAGTGGCCTCCGAGACCAAGGTTGTGGCCATGATGGGACCAAGGCCAAGGCTGTGGAGCTCATGGAAACAAGACTGAGGACAAGGAGTGGATGCCTGTTACCAAGCTGGGCTGCCTGGTCAAGGACATGAAGATCAAGTTGCTGAAGGAAATCTACCTCTTCTCCCTGCCTATCAAAGAGCCTGAGATCATTGACTTCTTCCTTGGGTCATCTCTGAAGGATGAGATTTTGAAGATTATGCTGGTACAAAAGCAGACCTGCACTGGCCAGAATATCAGGTTCAAGGCATTTGTTGCCATCAGGGACTATAATGGCCATGTCTGTCTGGGTGCTAATTGCTCCAAGGAAGTAGCCACTGCCATCCGAGGGGCTATTATCCTAGCCAAGCTCTCCATTGTCCCTGTGCAGAGGCTGCTAGGGGAACAAGATCAGCAAGCCCCATATCATCCCTGTACCCAGGAAGATGCTGATGATGGCTGGCATTGACTACTGCTACCTGTCAGCCAGGGGCTGCACTGCCACTCTGAGCACCTTTGATACCATCTCTGAGACCTATAGCTACTTGATCCCTGACCTCTGGAAAGAGACTGTATTCACCAAGTCTCCCTATCAGGAATTCACCAATCATTTTGTCAAGACCTACACCAGAGTCTCTGTGCTGAGGACCCAGGCTCCAGCTGTGGCAACAACACGGGACTTTTTTTTTTTTTTTTAGTCAGTCTCACTTTGTTGCCCAGGCTGGAGTTCAGTGGCACGCTCACAGTCACTACAGCCTTAACCTGCTGGACTCAGGTGATCCTTCCATGTCAGTCTTCCACATAGCTGGAACTACAAGCGCACACTACCACAACCAGCTTATTTTTTAATCTATTGTAGAGACCAAGTCTCACCAAGTTGCCCCGGCTGCTCTCAAACCCCTGAGCTCAGGCAATCCTCTCGTCTTGGCCTCCCAAAGTGCTGGGATTACAGCTTGAGCTACTGTGCCCAGCCAACACAGGATTTTTATACAAGAAAAATAAAGTGAATCAAGCATACCAAAAAAAAAAAAAACCTTTAAACTCTTATGAAGACATAAGAAAAAGTAACAGAATACAAAAATGTGCAGAATTTCTAGGAAGCAAAAGTTACATTTAATCATTACAAGGAAGAAAAGAACATTGGAAGCTAAATGGGGCTTATAATGAACCATTTACATGTACTCTCAGCTGAGTTTTGTGGAATACTGCTTTATTTCAAAGACAACAAACTCTATTTGTTTTTAGTCTTTTCCTCAAACACTTCAACTTTCTCACCCAACTGAAGATACTTACCTTGCCACCAGTCTTTGTGACCTGCCATTCTCCAAACATGACTTGAGTGTTAAAATTTCCATATTTTTGTTCATATGCTATTTCCTTTACCTGGAATTTCTTTCCCCACCTAATTCTCTGTTCCAATTCTAACTATCCACAAGGGACTTCAAGGCCACCTGCATCATGAAAGCTTCCATGGTCCCTCACAAGTGAATGGAACCTCTTTTTTGGAAACACCACAGCACATAACGTACCTGCTATGTCCTTCACCCCCTCTAGTTAGTATTACACATTCTACATAAAAATCTATTTCTACAATCCAAGTTGAATTCACCTTTGTATTCCTATACAGCTTTCGCATCAGTGTTGCTCCTAAAATATTGACTGTGAACATGCACTCAATGAGCTTGACGTGTTGAAATAATTTCAAATGTGCTGCCATACTCACATTTTTTACTTTGTTTTTCCACTTCCGCCTTCAGTCTCTTGTACTTGTCTGTCCTGTAAACCAGGACCCAGGTTATACCTAGAACATTAAAAGCAACATGCTAACAGAGAATGCTTGGAACAATCACAACAAACTACGACTGCTGCTTAGTGTTGGAGGATTCCCAACTTTTTGCTTTCCATTTACCCGTAGTTAACTTTTTTCCAAATGTCAACACAACTGATTCTTCAGCCAAAACAACTGTAACAAGATGTGAAGGTACCTCCACAAATATGCAAGTGAAATCTACCTTAGACCACAGAAAATCCGGCAACCCATCCACACCTCCCCTCTCGCTCCTGTTCGCGGTCAGCACAGGGACTTCCAGAAGGAGACCGGACGAGCCCGCAGTCAAGTGGAGCGGGGGGGACCCCGGGGCCCTCCCTCTCGGGGACAGAGCAAACGCCTGAGAAATAGCCGGTCTCACCCTCGGCGAGCAGAGCCGTGCACACGGAAATAAAAACGATGAGCAGGGTGTCCGCGAACATGGTGCTCATCGTGCACCTTCGTTCCGGCACTCCCACCCGCCGGGGGAAGCGCTCTAGAGCTAGGAAGAGTGAAGACGACTTCCCTAGATGCCGCGACCACCGAGTAACACTCGGATTCTGACAGACTGGAGATCACACTTCCGCTTCCGGGACACAGCACCGGAAAGGCTCCTGCTGAAGAACGGTGTGGCCGCGCGAATCTAGAGGAAGCCAACCGGCAATATCCTCGGGACTGAAGGGCTGGCGCTCGTACCAAGTCTCGCGAGAGTTGGCATTTGAACCCCAGAGAGTGAATGGAGGCAGCGGCGGTGAATTTTGCCCGGTAGCGTTTACTCGCTGGGGTGGTGGCTTGCGTCTTCTGCGCCAGCATCCAGTTACTGGGCTAGTTTGGGCTTCTACCTCAGCTTCACCTCTGTGGCCGTAATATTAGATAGTTGAGCCTAGGGTAAACACGTGCTGACCTAATGGACGTGGGCCGCGGGCTCCAAGGAGCTCACCACAGCACGGACAGAGGACAGTACTTGCGGTGTGATTCCGGTTAAGGGTGTATGGCCAGAATGCTGCAGGGTGGTCACAAGACGCTGATGGAAGGAACTGAAGCCTTAGAGTTGAGGTGCAAGGACCTTCCACGCAAAGGCACAGATGCTTGAAAATCCAAGGTGTGTAATAGACCCCTGAGTGATGTGTCCAGAGAAGGGGTCGTACACACACACGCCTGCACTGGTGAGAGAATAGAAATTACCGCCCGGGCTCGGTGGCTCGGCTTGTAATCCCAGCAGTTTGGGAGGCCGAGGCGACCAGCCCGGGCAACGTGGGGAGACCTCGTCTCTACCATAAATCAAAAATTAGCCGGGCGTGGTAGCGCATGCCTGTAATTCCGGCTACTCAGAAGGCTGAGGCTGAAGGATCGCCGGAGCCCAGCAAGTCGAGGCTGCGGTGGCTGGGAGCGTGCCACTGCACTCCAGTCGGGGCGACGGAGTGAGACTCCAACTCAAAAAAAAAAAAAAAAAGAATAGAAAATACCTTATGCAAGCTGAGCCCGAGAAAATGGTGGAAGGGACTATGATGGATAAGGGAGCATTAATTTCATCTGAAAGGAGAATTTGATACGTAAATCCAAACAATTTCTCTGGGAAGATGAGCACCCAGCTTCTGAGAGCTTTTCATTTCTTAGGAAAATCCAGAAATCCTGATTTTTTATGTGAAAGTTATATTTATAAGTGCTGTATGGGTCAAGAAAATGTCTCAGCAGCTAGATTTTAGCCAGTGTAGAGGCTTTCAGCTTCTTTAGACTGATTGTGTGTGGGCTGAGTGAAAACCTGGAAACTGGCTGAGCTGTTTCCCCTTGTCTTATACTTTCTATCATTTCTTCTTTTCTCTTAAACTCCACTGCACTTAATTTTGAGTCAGGATCTCACTCTGACGCCCAGGCTGGAGTGCATTGGCATGATCATGGCTTACCACATCCTTGAGCTCCTGGGCTCAAGCATGTACTCAGCCTCCCCAGTAGCTGAGGCTACAGATACATGCCACCACGCCTGGCTAATTATTTTTAGAGAGAGAGGTCTGGCTATGTTGCCTCAGCTGGTCTTAAACTCTTGAGCCACCATACCAGACTGCTCTTATATTTCTACTTTTGACCTCTTTTAGTTGTGTGTGCTTTTCTTGTCTCCTCTTCTAGACTTAACAGATGTTGTTAAGCTTCGACTATATTTCAGTATAGTGGTGGGCACTGATGAAGATAGTATTCCTGACTTCCAAGACTTCCCAGAGAAATTGTATATTATAAAAAGATATAATAGAGTTATTCTTTTTTGTTTTGTTTTGTTTTGTTTTTTGAGTTGGAGTCTCACTCTGTCGCCCGAGCTGGAGTGCAGTGGCATGCTCACAGCCACCATAGCCTCTACTTGATGGGCTCAGGCAGTCTTCCACCTTAGCCTTCCAAGTAGCTGAAACCACAGGCATGTGCCACCACACCTGGCTAATTTTTCTTCATTTATTGTAGAGACAAGGTCTTGCCAAGTTGCCCAGACTGGTCTCAAACCCCTGGACTTAGGAAAACCTCTCACTTCTGCCTCCCAAAGTGCTCGGATTACAGGCGTGAACCACCATGACTGGCTAGAGTTATTCTTAGAATATAATGGGAGCATGGATGAGAACAAGATTGGTTCTTCTTGGAGAATTGAGAAGGCTTCAGAAAGATCACATTTGAGCCAAACCTTGATTTGAGTAGTAGTTCAGACAAGGATAGGTTTTTATTCAACTTTGTATCATCCAGGGTAAATGTTGAGAAACAATAAGAGCCTGACCTTTGAAGTCAGACCTGATTTTCAATTCTGGCTCTGCTGCTTACTTGACAGCTGTCCTAGAACATATTAATTAACAACTCTGAGCCTCCATTTCATTATCTGTAAAATGATGATAACAGCAGTTGCATAAAATTGTTATGAAGACTAAATGAGGAAGAGTATATTATATAGCATTGCAAGCTGTGCTTGGTACATGCATTTCACCAAATCTAACATGCTACTGACAGTAAGATGCTCCATTATTTTATACACTACTAAAACAGACTGACTGAGCACAGTGGCTCATGCTTGTAATCCCAGCACTTTGGAAGATCGAGGCAGGAGAAAACACACTTGGGCACGGGAGTTCAAGACTCGCCTGAGCAACATAGCAGCTGGGTGTGGTGGTGCACACCTGTAGTTCCAGCTATGTAAGGAGCTGAGATTGGAGGATCACTTGAGCCCAGGAGGTCAAGGCTGCAGTGAGCTGGGATTGTGTCACTGCACTTCGGCCTGGGTGACTATGAGACCCTGTCTCCAAAAAAATAAATTTAAAATTTAAGAATTGCTAATTGATTGTAGGATGAATCCCTTTCAGAGATGTTAAAATGTGAAAGAAAAAAAAAAGTCTTAGAATTAATGAAATACACTAATAAGTAGCATTTAATCCTATGTAAATATTTACTGTAGAGGATGGACTGCTAGGATACCGCTTCCTTTTCTTGGGCAAGGTCATCATGACACTATGCCCCTTACTGAAGAACAGTTCTAGAGATAAGTTCAAATATCTTTTCTACATTTACCAATTCTCTTTATCATATTCTCAAATTCTCTAAGCTGTTAGTTGTATTACCTAATTTTTAGATTTCAAGGTTTTCCCCATGGAGACCACTCTCCCAAAGCTCACTATCTTGCTCCAATCTCTAGGATGATAGTAAGGCTTTTATCCTAGGACTTCTTTTATGATTCTCTTGAGTGGGATTCACTATTCCTTGAGCTTGCATCGTCCTTTTTAGTTTATACTTTATGCTGTGGTACATTCTCAAGTAACATCCTGTGAAAGGTGAATGGGAGCTAAGCTTTTAATGTTCTTACATTATTAGTAGAATTAGTAATAATAATACTGTTCTTTAAATAAACATTCAGTAATAGCCTAGGCATTGTAAAAGATTATAAGAGAATTATAAATCCCTGCTTATTATAAATCCCTGCTTACACTCAGGAATGCGCTTTGAATTTCAATCTTAGCCCCACTCCATTTAGACTGTGTTACTTTGGCAAGTTATTTAATTTCTCTGAGTCTCATTTTTTAAAAAAAAGATCAATCAAGTAGAGGTAAAAATACCTACCATCCAGAATTACTGTGAGGTTTATATAGCATTGAGAGCAAAGTTCCAGAGTCAAACTGCCCATCTTCAAATCCTGGCTTTCCCATTCAACTAGATGTACAATTTTAGGCAAATTACTGTACCACACTGTGCCTGGGTTTTCTTGACTATAAAATGACATCATCATCACCATAATGATAGTATCTAAGTTCAAAGAATTTTACTTTTCAAAAGAATATGTAAATTAAGTGTTTAGAAAGATTCCTGGTACCTACTAAGAGGGCAGTAAGTATCATTAATATCGTTATTGGCTCTATTCAACCACTGAGCTAATAACCCTTGAACTAATTTTTTTCTCATTCTGTTCATTTTTCCTGTGATCTTGCTCATTTCAATAGCCTCAATTGATTCATGAAATATTATCTGTAGCCTAAGTTTATTTTTTTGTTTTTTTTCAGACCTACTATTTAACTGCCCCATGGACATTTCCATTTGGATATCCCAAACTCAACCCATCATGTTCCTTTCCCCAAACTCAAATTTTCCCCTGTTCTCTTAATGAGAAGCACCACCATTTAACTTGTTTTTCAAGCCAAAAATAAGGGAATAAGCCAGGCGCATTGGCTCACTCCTGTAATACCAGCACTTTGGGAGACGGAGGCGAGAGGATTGCCTGAACCCAGGGGTTCAAGACTAGCCTGAGCAACTTGGCGAGACCTCATCTCTACAATAAATCAAGACAAATTAGCCAGGTATGGTAGTGTGTGCCTGTAGTTCCAGCAACTTGGAAGGCTTAAGTGGAAGGATCACCTGAGCCCAGCAGGTTGAGGCTGCAGTGACTGAGCGTGCCACTGCACTCCAGCCTGAGCGACAGAGTGAGACTCCAACTCAAAAAAAAAATAAAAAAGAAACAAGGGGATGACTTTCAATAACTTCCTCCTCTTTATTCCACATGTCTACTTTCCAAGATTAAGTTCTCCCTTCTTTGTATTTCTTTTTTCCAGACCTTTCAGTCCCCTCTACTACACTTCAGTTCATCTTCACTTGTATTACAGCCTTCTAACTGGTCTCCAGTTTTATACCCAATTCAGCCCTCTCCAGGTCATCCTTTTCATGTAGGCAATAATGATCTTTCTCAGATACAATGATGACTGAATGCAGAGAATTGGGAAAGGAAGGCGTTAAGGATAGTGCCCAGATTTTTTTTAGTGAACACCTGAATTGATTCATATCAGCAAAAGCAGGTAAAGAATCAAGTTTTTTTGTTAGAAAGCAGGATTTATTGAGAGAAAAGCTTCCACAGTGGGAGGGGACACAAAACGGTTGCCCAGGAATCAAGTTTTTAAGAGAAAATTTTTTCCTCACAAAGCTAGCAAGACTAGATGAAGACCTTCAGAAACCCAGGGCACTGAAAAGATAATAAAATTTCTTCCCAAATATAATTTAAAGTGAAATATGATTTTCATTACTATTTTTGAAATCTTTCTCTTTTTTTAGATAATTTTCTCTGTGAGTCAGTGTGTGCATAGTGTGTGTGCAACCTAACTACTTGTTTAATCTGCTTGTTGGATAATCCAGCTTTTTAGGATAGAGACTATCTTGTTCATTGTTACATTCTCAGCTTTTGAAACATGGTCTAGGACAAAGAAGCTGCTCAATATGTATTTACTGAATGAATGAATGAATGAGTGAATGATACTTTTGGGGAAGAGGACAGTATCTTGGGAGAATTGGAAAGTTTAGGTGGACCTTAA